GAAACGCATGAAGACTATTCTTATTAGCCTTCCTTAAATGAAGACTTTCCCCTTAAATATTGTTGCATGACACATCTGAAATCCTACGAAGTTGATAGCTAGGATGATGAGTAGCTTACAAAACTAAAAACGATAGACTTTGATTTCAATCTTTTATTTGTGCAACCTTGCCCTAAAATCTGGGTAGAATTGTTCAGAATTATTGATCGAGGAACCGCGATCAAAAGATACACTACACTCTCATATCACCTCGTATATACATTAATCGTTCAGCTCGTCAGCCGCTAAGGTATATTCAGCTCCGCTCTATAAAGCTCACGCGAGCGGTCTTATCCCCATTCACCCACCCTAATACATTATTACTTCAATTAGGATACCCTTCCACATTATATGTAAGCATCATATAGACGGATTGGGGTTGTTTATTCATAGGGCTGCCTTTTCGGAGTTTACTATTGTACTATTACTCGATACGGCACATAATAAGATAAGAGAATATACACAGATCTGCTGATAGGCCGATGATCTAAGAGAAAGTAAAGGTACTAGCGCTAAGTTTAGGGTCCTCAACCGTGGTTAAGTCTGTTGAATATCTGGCCATGGATATGAGATTATTCTGAGACAAGGGCTAGTTTGTTGTGGGACGATTGCTCCTGATTGTGTATGAGGATTGCTATCCAACAAATTCTATTGTTGAGTCGTCACGAGACCCTGGTTCCATCCGCAAATATAAAAGGTCTCTTGCAGCGTCGGATTGTTTCATCGCCATCATTACGCATACGGCCATGTCTAACAACCCATCGCAGGCCGACAAATATCTTGTCAACCCATCTCCATCCTCCCACACCAAAAGCTTGACAGAAGGCTCGACCATAGAAGCGCATTCTGGTAATGGTTGCGACATGAACCTGTCTATTTCCGAGTCTGGCTGGCGGACTGGTTCTACAACTGTCCCGACGTCCCGTTTCCTTGCACTCCCTCAGGAACTTCGAGATCGCATCTATCGCTTTGTGCACAATACAAAATTTGTGCGTCTTCCGTCTATCACCGATGACCTTCTTTATGGATACTGGAGGCCCTGTTACCCAATACTTCTGTTGTCTCGTTCCGTGAGCGAAGAGGTGTATACCTTTGCGCAACCTTTTTACGCGAAAAAGCCACTCATTATCATTCAACGTTTCGGTCGGAACTACTGGATCAATGATAAACGGTGTATGCTGGCCAGTATAATAACCACACTCAAGCTAGGGCGCGCGTATGATCTGCTTCACTTGGCAAAACTCACTGGTGGAAAAAGAAGTCCTGCCATATTGGACATCTACACCAAGAGACTACCATTCCCCCAGCTTCTACGATCTATGAAATATAACTATCACAATGAGAAGGTGGACGAACCCCGACTACAAACGTTCTACGAGCAATCGATTCTCCACTTTCGGCACAACCAGAACATCGATGTGCAATTTGAGATAGATGAACAGGGATATCAATGCTTGGAGAAGAATCGTTCAAAGACTGGGTCTACTAGGGAGTTTGTCTTGGAGATGGCGAAACGCTGCTACTATTGCTCTAAGATTTCCGACTTGAACCTGTGTATTTATGTGGTATTTACGAAAAAAGAAATCATGGATAGCGTTGTGGATGAGAAGGAGAGCATATTGAACACAGGTCAGACTGTGTTTTGGAGATTGAAACAAGAGTACGAATAAGACTCATCCAAAGCCTCTGGAACATACTTGGTTCCTGCAACTGGTAGTCCCGGAGTTACATATAAAAGTGTCTTAGGGAGAACATCGCATCTTCAATATAAATCATCAATATTGGTCTTGGTATTCAAAAAAGCGGCTACCGAGAAATACATGGATTCTAAACAGCGATATGGATTTTAGGGCGTGGAAATTATTCGACAACATACCCCAAACTCCCGTGACAGTCTCATATACCCACTCTCGAACTTGATCGACAAGAGGGCGTCAGCGAACGGCCGACCCATGCTGCTCAGTCATCGTACTGTGTCAGGCTCGAAAATTCTCATCCTATACCCGAAAATTGTATTCAGATATGATTCAATGATGTACTCCAGAGAGTTATCGGGTATTTCTTTCAATTAGCTACTCTCTATTTCCTGGCTTTTATATAAAACCAGAAGAAAGACTGTTTATTGACCGGTCAAATTGGGCTTCGACATGTCGCAAAGACCCGCTTCAAAATGCTGAAATCCATTCCAGTCCTCTATTTCTTACTTCCAACATCTAGCACCAAAGTGTTAGCTGTTATCCCGATTACGGCGCCTTATCGTCTCTCTGCAGACTTACTGAATTGGAAATGGATAATATCTCCATCTTGCACAACATATGTCTTCCCTTCTTGACGGTACTTTCCGGCAGCCTTGATCGGACCCATACTCTTTCCACCCTCACAAAGATCGTGGAAGTCCTGGTACGCGACTACTTCGGCTTTGATGAAGCCTTTTTCAAAGTCGCCGTGGATAACTCCTGCGGCTTGGGGAGCTAGGCAGTTTCGTTGGATGGTCCAGCAACGGACCTCTTTCTCACCAGCTGTGGGGTGTTATCTTTGGGATTCAATGGAGATGAGGGCGATAGAAAAGGAAACGTAGAAACGAACCTGTGAAATAGTACTGCAGACCGAGCTTCGTGAACCCTTCAGTGACAATCTTGTCTAACTTGGACTTCACCTTGCTCTCCTTGAGGAACTCATCCCGCGCGGCAGGGTCATCTTTCAAGCTATCGAGCTTTTCCTCGTACTCGATAGAGAATGGTACGATATCGCGGGGAGTGCCTCCATGCTCTGTTACCCACTTCGCAATCAGTGGCAGATACTTGCTCTTCTGTCGAAGGTAATCCTTCATTGTCAAGTTGACAAGGTAGATAGTGGGTTTTGTGGTGATGAGCTGGATCTTCTCGTTTATCAGGGCAATCTCTGCCGGGGTCCAGGAGCCGTCTCGGACAGGCTGGTCTTGTTCCAACATCTGATTGCGCAAAATGTTAGCAGATTTTTAACAGGGAGTGTTGCGATGGGTGACGAACCGCCTTGATCTTTGTTGTCGTCTCAGTGAAGAGGGGCAGCATTTTGTACTTTCCACCAGCCTTTTTCACAATGAGTTCCTCGGCAACAATGGTCTTCTGCAGGATATCTAGGCAACACCAAATGATCAGCAGACTAGAAGTTGAGAGCAGGATTAGGAATGCTCACCAAGATCTTTCTTGCAAAGCTCGCTTTGGATCGTATCTAATCAATTAACTTTTAATCGTCCTGGTATATGTAGGTGTAACTGACTCAGATCCCGAACAGGGTCGATTGAGTCGTCCACGTGCAAGACTTCATCGTTGTCAAAAGCTCTGTCTTTGAAGTCAGAGGAAGTAATGTGTGTAAGAAGAAGGGGGTTCATACCGGACAATGTGGAACATGCCATCAACCGCTTGGATATGCGAGAGGAATGCATTGCCTAGACCCGCTCCATCCGATGCACCTTTGATAAGCCCCGCAATGTCTGTAACTTGAAGGTACGCAGGATACGTGGATGGTGGCTTCCAAAGATCGCACAAGAAGGTCTATATTTTCCCTCTAGATTAGCTATTTCCGTCTTCTTGTGCGGGACAAATACAATACTTGAGCTTCAGCCTTCAAATTCTAGTCCACTAAATCCAGAACCAGAATATACTTACGTATCGCGCATCTGGCACCGGACACCGTGCCTCATTAGGCTCAATCGTGCAAAACGGGTAATTCTCAGCCGCAGCACTCTGCTGCGTCAAAAGATTGAACAGACTCGACTTGCCCACGTTGGGCAGGCCTACGCATCCCATCTTGAGGTTTTTGCGGACTCTGCCGAATGCAACGACGTTGTCAGCGACATCGGCTGTATCTTTTGAACTTTTTTTAGGCGGCATGGTGAATTGAGTATAGAATGTAGAGGGGTGAGAGAGTTGACAAAAGTACATTAGGCAGACTTTTTGAACACAAACCGAAAGTGGCGCCATTATGCACGATTTGTTAGGATCTGCTGAAGTGGCTGGCAGGGGTACCCCGCTCCACGTGATGTTGGTGTAAGTACATGAGTAAAGGATGGGATAATCAAAGTGAAATAACTCGGTAGCGTTGTTGCTCTTATTAATGCAATTACGGTTGATATCCAGCGCCGGATCATTGAGCCTGTAATACCCAAAAGCAATCTAACAGCCTGACAATAGCCTATAAATTGATACGTTCGAAGAAACCAAGCTCATGGTGACACGATACTAGCAAGATTAAGGATATCCAACATTTATATTGCCTTTCTATTTCTAAAAGATACCCGAAGATTCACCTTTGTCTATAGCTCGGTTATTACTGAAGAACAAGTTATTTCCTCCCCGTGACCTTACACACTCTTTTGTGTATGTAGTTGAACAAGCCTAGACTCGCCCCATTTTTAAAATCGATATTCATCAGCTTGTCAGTACCTATAGGTCCAGGTTATAGATGCGGTTCTCCAGACAGAACGCGCAGATGGTGGTAACGAACCCCCATCCTCTCTTTCTTGTCAACAATCAGGGGTCGCCAGTATAGAAATGCCACACTGAATGCTACAGCGGTATTGATTCTCTAGATCACGTGATTGTACACGCTGTGTAGTCTCCACCTCTATATAGGATCTGTACTGTGTAGAAGACCCTCGCGAACAGTTATCGAAAAATTTAGAAGTACTAGATACCCGTCGTCTACTAGTTAAATACATAGTCGCACTACCATAATCTAGCGCAAGGTAATTATACCAGGCTTGATTAAGAAACTGAAACCTCGCTTTCGGGAAGTAGGAATCTAGTGTCGCAGCCCCGCGCACAATCTCAAAATTAGGTACCCTAATTTCATACAGTAGTGAACAAACAATGATGGCGCTGGTGCTGGTGTCTTTTGGATAGGAACACATGTCAACCCGTCCGTTTGTGCTTGTCGATATATAAAATTTAAAACCTCAATATCTCATCAATCAAATCATCGCATCGGTGGTTTAGTGGTAAAATTAGCCGTTGCCATTGGCAGTATCGGCTAGCCCCGGGTTCGATTCCCGGCCGATGCATTGAACAGTTTCTTTTTGCTTTTTTTTTTGCACTCGTTGGTGGTGTTGGAGCAGGTTTTGTGGTTTTGGTCACGTGTGAGTTTCGGTTTCACGTTGCATGTGAGGCGAGGGCCCACACGCGACGTGGCTGTGCGCGGCTATGCCACGAGCCTTGCCACGCCACGCGCTGGCCACGCGACAATGCGATCCCTACATCTTCGTTTTCACTCCACTGTTTAGTGACGCCAACGTTTGAAGGGTAGGTACGCGCCTATATAGCCTCAGGTTGCACAGCTTTTAATTGATGGTCCAAACTCTCTCGTTCGCGTCTTCAATGCCTCTATGCCGTGCAACGTAAACGTGCCATCGTCAACTTCTCTCAATCAAAAGCGCGCATTTTAAGTGCTAACAGCAATCTTCTCACATCAATTCGAGTCCACGTCATCATGGCGTTCACTGGACGAACCCCCGAGTCCCTCATCCCCCGATCGGACTCGAGAAATCCCGCGACAACGTGCAAAGGCATCACCAAGGGGGGCCGACCATGCCGCAGAGCCATTGACGCGAAACCGGATGGCACGGATAACGGCAACGGTGTGCTGGCTGTTGTGTCTGTGGTGGGCGACAGCGACGAGGAAGAGACTGGAGCTGCGGCGTACTTTTGCTGGCAACACAAGGACCAGGCGGAAAAGTTGGCAGCGCAAGGTGGTGGTGGGCAGGATACCCACCTCTATTCCCTGAAGGAGAGGGGCAGTGTGGATACATTAGTAGCACGGTTGGGGGTGCTAGATATCGATGAACCATCTAAGCAACAGACACAAGCTTCGGCGGACCGTAGGAAGAAGAGACATGATCAACCGCCGCACAAGGTCAACAGGCCACCAACATGGAATACCGTCCAAGGACCGCTCATGTCGGTGCCAAGTGAGCTTATGGCCCAACACAAGCCTACGACTCGACCGACAGCACAACCGCAGCGAAAGAAGCATTCCTTCTTGAAGTCGTTGTGCTGTGGGGAAGCGGATGACGAGCATGTGGACGACGAGAAGCATCACCACCACCACCACCAACAACAACAACACCCTCATGCCGCGAACACCACGAATCAAAACGTCGACGACTTCTTGAAGCCCCATGCTCAAAGTCGGCCGAATGGCACATCATCCGGACCCCCTCAGACCCCTCGACCTCACAGCAAGGCCTCGTCCCGCCCGGCAGCAGACCCAGCAACGCCCATGTCGTACATTCCAAAGACCCTACCACCCCAACTAGCATCCACCCTCCTCGCCGAAATGGCAAAGCCCATATCCCAATCCGAGGAAGAAGGCTACATCTACATATTCTGGCTAACGCCCGAATCTCTCGGACCCGCCCCATCCAGCACAGCCTCAACAATCCTCACGCCGCCATCGCGGCCCGAGCAAAACCGCAACACCTCAGACGTCCTACGGCAATACTCGACCAAAGCGCGACCAAACACATCACGCGAAGCCACCACCCCCTCAGCCTCCAACAGCAAATCCACCATCCTCCTAAAAATCGGCCGCGCGAACAACGTAACGCGACGCATGCACGAATGGACCCAACAATGCGGCTACAGTCTCTCGCTCGTGCGCTACTACCCCTACGTGCCGTCGGGCACGACCCCGGGACCCTCGCCCAACGCCTCGCCGGCAAACTCGCGGAACCAATCGTACAGCAAGAACCAACGGCCTGGCGATGCGGGCCGCAGCGTGTCGGAAGGCGTGAGGAAGGTGCCGCATGCGCACCGTGTGGAGCGCTTGATACATCTCGAACTGGGCGACATGCGCGTCGTGAAGAAGTGTGAGGCGTGTGGGAAGGAGCATAGGGAGTGGTTTGAGGTCGATGCTACGAGTGACGGGGTGAAGAAGGTGGATGAGGTGATAAAGCGGTGGGTGGATTGGTCGGAGAGGAGTGTGGGTGGTGCATAGTGAATGGTGCTATGGTATGGGCGTTTTTGGATTGGATTGCATATGGCATGGCGATCAGGTATCTATTGCAACAGGCGCATGGGTTTTTAGATAGAGGGAACTCACCATCATATATTTCATTATATATTTCAATTTCATAAGATAAAGTAAGGCTTCCGATTGACGATGTCACCTGATTTGTGTATTACAAAGTTACCGTAGTACGAGGCACTGATACCGTAGCTAACAACCAAAGACTCATTGTCGCAAGGGCCATTCCTGCGTTGGCTAGACCACCGCAACTCATCGGCTCGCACATTCTCACGTGTCACTCACTAGCTCACAAGTACATGTGCCATCAAGAATAGAATCTTATTGGGGAAGGGGTATCTCTGTGTAATTACGCACCGACATCAGCATACATCGTCCTTATCCTCCATCCATCCACTCCTCCACCCCTGACGAGAACCTCGGATCAAAAGGAAAACGGGCCGCACGTGTATCCTTTTTCTGACCAAACCGTATAGACACTGTTTTCTCTTCTCCTGTGCGAAGACATCTTTTTCGTCTTTTTTTTTTTAGAGCGAAGCCAAGGAGATGCGGCAAACGGTCTTCTATCGTAGCAAAAGGGAAGCGGCCGTCGGTATGATCGGTATCCATCAGCATCGCATCAGGTTATATTCGTATGTTTTGGTGTTGAACTTTCTTTCCTCCTTTTCAACGGCCTTTTCGTCTCCACCTTTTCTCAACGCATGACTCCACACCTATGTACAACGGAGTCATCCGCCTCTTCTGTGATTCACTATTGTTCGTATGAAAGTCGAATCAGAATAGGCCCATCCGCGGCCCCCATATGTTTTGGTCAGCGGCAGCCTTGGGGTTGACGAGGACTTGGTGCGGGAACGGGTTGGCATCGGTGGTAGTAATCGGCGGGATGTGGTCTTTGTCGCGATTGACGATGGTGATGATTTTATGGGCTGCCTTCTCAAGCGACTTTGTCATGGCGCGACGGACTTTGAGGACGTCTGTCAATTAATCAGCATCCCCTATCCACAGTTGTGGCGAAGGCGGAGGTATAAACATGCTTACCGGTTTCGGTCCGCGGCGTAGCAAGAGTCACATCCAGGGTCCACTGCTCCCAGCAAACATCCTCGTCAGCCTTGCCAAACGTAAAGTAAGACTTCCTCCTCCGCTTCTCGAAGAACTGCACGACCAGCTGGCCGCGGCCGCGCTGCTGGTGGGTGCTTTCTATGGCGCGCACGAGGGCTATGGTGCGCTGGTCGATCAGGGTTTCGAGGTCGACATCGTCGATGGCCGGCAGGGTGAGGTCGAGGAGGTCGCGCGTGAGCGGGGACACGGACATGAAGTAGCGGTGGAAGAAGATGGTGTGCAGGATGGCTAGACGTCATAGTGTTAGCTCTTGCGGGTATACTGGAAGTTCGGGAAAAGGAGGCGGAAGGATGGGCTGATCCGGAGGACGCCGCGGACGTCCTTGGTGGGGGGGAGAGAAGGCTGTCAAAGAGAACAGCAGCTGCGCACCTTTTACGACATCCTTGACGCAGGCCAGGTCGGCAAAGATATCCAGATGGTACTCAGGCCGTCGTCTCGGTTCCATGCTCGCATTTGCGCCGCCTGCGTGCGTCTGCTGTCGGTCGAACGGTGTACGTGGACGCAGAGAAAAACCCCGCAACGAGCGCAAACGCGTCCCCCTCTCTTGTCCTGAGACCGCGACGGGTTCAGCAACTGTAATACCGTTCGCGCTTTCCTCCTGGGGGGCAATACTCGGGCAGCAGACACAGAGCTCGTACGGGTGCAGGTCGGCTGGGCTGGCGTTCTTTCAGGTTGTTGTGAGTGCAGTGGTGGTGGAATGCTGTGCGGAGGTGATGGGGGTCGGGTGTCGGAGATCAGACCAAGCTGAAATTTGTGGCGGCGGGGCCCGCCGGCAAAGAAAGGAAAAGCGTCGTCGCCCCGGTGAGATCATCGAAGACATAAATGCCTGCTCCACCGCAATCTTCCCAGACACGTGCAGTAATAGTCAACAATACGCTCCTGTCTCATCTCTACGTGGGAAAGTGCGATGGGCGAGACGGAAGCCGATCATTGATTGCGCGTGATGCCGTATTGCTTGCTGCACCGGCCGGATGACATAGCGACGGGTACTACAGGCAGCTGTGGCTCACGCGTGCTAGGGCTGAATGTCTTGCAGTGCCCGTCGAGAGCCTGCCGCCGCTTAGACCCGGTTGTACGAGGCTGCATAACTGCCTAGCACTGCCTCCCAATAGACTCGAGGCCATTAGTCGTTAAGGGGATGGGGATGGGGATGGGGATGGGGGATAGGGGAAAGGGGCCATACTTCAGCAGTGTCGCAGAGGACGACGTCTTCAGGGGGAGCAACAAGCAAGAGGCAGACGACGTTTTACGACGCAACATTTTATTCAGTAGTGTTGCATGTCTATGTGACCGTCGGATGCATTGAGCGTCACGTGTCCGTCCTGCTGGTGCTGCTCGACTTCAGATTACGTAATCAAATAACCCCATGGCACCAATGGCACCAACGCCCCATGGTGACGCCGCATCGGGAATGTGTCACAGTGCTGAGTGTGGGAGGTACCATGCGCACTGCGCCAAGGCACGCGCCATGCGTTCAACAATAATAGACAAGGACATCGCATGTGAACGACACTTCGTATTATTAGACAACAGTCGTGATTTAGAAAGAGTGTTTCTAAAACACAGAGACTATCTACATAACGCCATCCAGCTCAAGCTGCGAACAGCGAGCCCCACGGTATATAACTGGCAACAAAAAAAAAACCGATACAAGAAACCTTCATACTACCAGTCATCACCCGCATCCAGCATCCCAATATCCCATCATCGTGATCATGCGCTTGCGCTTGCGCAACATGTCTGCATATTCGTCACCACATTACACCGCCTGTCCGCTGTTCTGAACCACCTCCTGCTTCTCGCCGTCGCCGAGCGAGCCACGAGACTTGCCCGGCTCGTCATCGGAAGCGAATCCATACTCTCGTGCCTTCTCCTCAATGGCCCTGTCGTCCAGGTACGGCAGCTCCTTCGCGGCACGCA